TGTTTCTCACTATACATCAGAAGTTATATAGTTCGTGACTATCACCACTTAAGGAACATTTTTATTGGTTGAAAAAGAAAAAAGTAATCATAATAAGTACTCTACACCCACACCTTGCTTTATGATATTCTATACGTAGAAATTTGCAATAAAATAATGAATTAGGTTTATAGCGATAAATTCTGAATCTATCAATGAATATCAAAAGAAAATACAGATAAATATGTGTGTCAATATTGGAAACGTTTAACTATTATTAATAAACCTAAAACAAGTGTCTATTGATGCCATTAAACAAGTTCTTTTTTTACTTACTCGTATTGATTTATTGTTACAATTATTGTTATTTATATATTAAATAATAATTAAATGATCGAAATACTTCATTGATGTAAGAGAATATTATTATAATATACTAAATGCATTTTGAAAACGTTGGCGAAAAGAAAAGCACGTTGCTTATAAGGTATACAGCATAAGAATTATGCGTATGAATAGGAATAAAGTGCATATTTTGGATAAAAAAAAAACATTCACAGAACGAAAGCGTTTTTCGTATTCTTAGCCCTCGCCTTACACTCATTAAATGTCACAGGATTGTTGTTCACGTTTTTCATAAAAAAAAATTCAATGACTGCATATTTATTTTTTTTAATATCCGACGAACATTACAATTCTTTTCTAAGGTTTCCTGTAAAAATAATGTATATGAGCATTATTATTATACCTAGAAAATTTGTTTACATTATATCCATATTAAAAAAAAACGCCCTAAAGAAAAATACTTCGTTAGATATGATTTCGTATTTTCCTTTTAGTACTAAAAAAGTTGAGAAATCGAACTTAAAAGCGATAAAGAAATGTTTCATTAACATGTCTTTGAAAATGGCTTACATGACTTTCTTGACGTTTTTACTTTACTAGAATAAAAGCAATCTTTCTTTCTCTTTTAATAAATAATTACTGTTTCTTTCTCTATTCAAGTGCTGTGATAAAATAAAACCCCAAACGTACTTTTTTGACAAGTATGAGAGGTTAAGAAAGAAACCTACTTAAAATAATGATGTTGAAATAAAAAAGAAAAAAAAACTAAATAATATTTAAGACCATTCTTTCATTTTTCACAAGTTCACTTACTTAATACATGTAGTCTTGTATTTTCTATTTTTTTTTGTGTATTTGTTTTTATCGTATTGAAGTTGTCAGTCATTGTTGTCCTTTTATCAAATTTCTATTATTTTTTAATGTCACAAAAAAAAAAATTTGATAAGAAGTTTTTTTCATGCAAACCTTTTTCGTTCTATTCTATTCCTTTTAAAGTTTTGATTTAAATGTTTTTAACCTTTCAAGGATTACATGGAAGAAAAATATCGTCTTTTCTGTTGACAAAAAGTCTATTTTTAAGAAATAGAAAGTTTGATTCTGTGTATATTTATATAAAATGTGAGCAGACGTATTTCAGATAAGTACTCCTGGTCTCAATCTATTCATCATAAGAATAAGTTACATATTAGCTGATATTATCTTTTTATCGAATGGATTAAGATCTATTTGAGAAAGTTAAAAGTTTAGTTTGAATTATATCCAATATTTGTCATTATACACACACTCATTTATATATAGAAAAAATAGGCAAGATAAATATTTCTTTTTCTTTTTCTTTTTTTTCAGACATTTTGTTTTTTATCACTGATTACATGCAAGTCAAGCTTTGAATGTTATTCTGTTCATTAATATAGAGCTCGATTGTTTTTATTTTTCTAGTTATACATTTTTATTGATAAATATAAGTATTCTTACTAATTATATAATATTATTTATACATTAAATAGGAGTGTAGAAGTCAAATGAGCCGGATCACGTTGTCAGCTATTGTGAAAGTATAAGCAAACAGTTATGTCAACAGATTGACTACAATGTATGTCGACATACTTTCTTTTATGCTCTAGAAAACATGATATGAAAGTGAATATAATACTATTACCAATAATAAATATTTTAATCTTTCATTATATGCAGTTTAGCCTACTAAAAAATGATGACGTAGAAACAAGTCCTTTTACTATAAATATGTAAATTCTGGACGTTACTGTTAGCGGTGATTCACTCTCATTCCTATCCCTTGATGTTTTTCCATCTCTCTCCTTTATCCTCCATTGTTGCTATTGTTATCTCTCCTTCTTTTCTTTCTTTCTCTCTCTCTTTCTTGTATTGCGTAATATATATGTGATCAAGGACATTTTTTATATACACACTTCCTTTGAAATAAAATAAGATAAGCTCGTCGAAACGAGCTAACAGTTACTAAAAATATTTTTTTAATTCAGATGTCGAGTATAATTAAACATTTAATAAATTACGATTGCTACTAATTCCTCTTCTGACTAATGGTATAACCAGTAGAGGAAGAGAGTCCCTGGAAACATTTGAGTTTTCTTCTTATAAAAATTTAAAAAAATATTATTAGTTGAGTGTACAAAAGATTTGTAACGTTCGGAGTCACTAGTCTCTCTTATAAAAATCTTTTTCAATTAAGGAAAATTTAACATTACCCTAAGACTTTCAATCCTTAATTAGGTAACAGATAGGCAAATGATTTTTCTGGATGCATTTTGACTTTTCTTGTTTACAATTTTTTACTTTGACGACTGAACTCATTTGAAAATAGATTTTTTTTTCTTACAAACAATAAATGCTATGCATATTTAAGAATTTACTTAGTATATTAGTTTTTCTAGTTTTAATTAGCGCAAAAGAAAACTCTGCTAATATTTTTCTGTTTCAACGTTAAAAAATAGCTCTTTAAATATTGTCAAATTTGCTCTATTGAAAAAAAAAATGAGTATATGAAAGTACTTTATATAGATTCATAGAAGTATATCGACGTCAGTTTATTAAGATCTTTGCTTGGTTAAGAAGAAAACTATGAAAAATATCAGAATTCATGATATTTTCATGCTAAAAGAAAAAAAACTAATAAAATTTGATTGATACATAATTGTTTGAATGATATTCAATGAGATTTATTATCTTCTACATTAATATTATAAAAAGAATTCATTTTTTTTTCTGATTGCTTTTATTTACCTGTCAAGATAAAATGAACTAGCCATTACTGGCAATTACTGTGAATAGCCATTATGTTCTGTAGTCTCGATATACTTCTATTTGTCGAGCATAATTGCGCATTTTCTTTTTTTCTTGAACTGAAAAAATGTAGCATACTTGGTGTCCAGAACATAGAAATTAGTCACAATGACTGTTAGTGACATTTATTTTATCTTGGCAGGTAAATATTTAACAATTGGAAAAAAAGTTTAGATTTTTTTTAAATATTAAAACATGTGTTATTTAGTTAGATATAAAAACTATATAAATTTGGACATTGAAATGAATATAAAAGATATTAAATGCTATTGAATATTGTTGAAATAATTTATATTAATTAATTTTTATTATTTATTTCTTGTTTTGACATGAACATATATTATGAGTATTAATACTTTTCATAATTTTATTCTTAATAAAAGTAAAAATTCTAAAGAACAACTGATGTCAAAGTAGTTATATAAATCTAATATACTTTCATTTTTTGATATTGTTTTTTAAATAGAACAAATCTGAAGATTTTTCTATTGGGTTTATTTTTTTAATCTGTTGTATTATCTGGTTCAAAATATTAAGATATTATTATTGTGTATTCCATTCAACATGAATATTTTGACGGTGAAGATGAAGACGGAAGTAGGACAATTACAGAGTAACAACAGTACGATCAGAGTTAAGAACAGCTTAATCAATTACATAACAATTAGTAAAAGCTATATCATGTAACTACCTGAAAATTATATCGATTTGATACTTGTACTGTAGTTAGAAAAACAAATTCTTTGATGGCTTTGCACTTCGTAAGAGTCTATGATAAATCTCAATAATATTATCGCTAGAATTTTGCTTTCAATAGAAGCATATCACTCAATATCTAGATTGATATATGAATAGGTAGATAAGTATTTGCCTACCTTTTAATCTATTTATTTACTTATTCGCTTATCTATTCTTACATAAATAGATAGCTGTGAGCCTGGATTTTTTTCATTTGCATTTGTGTTTCTCTGGCACCCACAGTCAAACAATATATATATGTCTTTTGGGTGCCCTTTTTGTTTTCGTGATATGCTTAGGCACATGATTTGTGCGTGAAAGTAGCTATTTTTTGAGCAATAAAGTTACTGAAATTGTAATATTTTGCATTCGATGTTGATGAATATGTGTTGTCATTTTACTATTCTTTCAGGTATATAAAATAATCCTATCAAGAAAAATATAGCTTTTTTCAATATGCATCTGGTGTTTTAATATGCTGCATGACAGTACTTCTAGTTTTGGATTTGTATTGTTAGGTTGATAAGTAAGTATATATATATATATATACACATCTATCCATCTATTGATCTAAATATTCTATAAGCGATTAGGTTGATAGGTAGGTAAATACTTATTTATTCTCCCACCTACCTAACACTCATACGTTTATATCAGTATGTCATGATTTTAGCGATAATGTCACTGAGATATGTCATGTATTATTTGGTAAGCCTTTACATGATGGCCTGCATCAGCATTCGTTGCAATTTCAAATTTTTTAACAAAGCTTGAATATTTCTAGAATAAATTCTGTTCGTTGTAATTCGTTCACTATTTGAAACTTTTTTCCGTTCTACTATCATAAATAAAATCTTTTATTGTTGCTTCTTCTATAATCTTGTTATCAGCAGTGTTTGTTGGCAACCGATTCAAGTAGACAGATTTTCAGAAGAATAAAATTTATCTATTATTGAGTGATGGAAAATTTAAAGAATAAATTATTGATAGATTATAGTTTAAAGTTTTTTCAGTTTAGTACTTATATATTATGTATTTCAAATAAAGACACAATACTTTTTTTTAATTTTCAGTTTCAAGTTTCTAGATTAGATTTAAATGATCTTGAATAATGATTATCGACGAGTAAATCGACCGCGAAAAGGACTAGATTTTCCACGACGTAAACCAATACCAGTGAATAGATCGTTTTGCACATTACATCCAAGACATATTGTTTGTTCAGTGACGGTTTTATTCCACATCAAATGATTTCCTGCGAGAAAATATGAAAGAAAAACATCAAAGTTTTGATAGAATAAAATAATAACAATATGATTTACATGATTCAATTAATGAGGGAATCGTTTCAGATGATATCTTGTGCTTGAAATGAGATGCACCTTATTAGATATGGTCTGCTGATAGTGTAAAAAACGTACAAGAATTCCTCCCCATGCAGTATCCTTTCGAAATTATGACCGTTTCACTGGATTTTTTACCCTTGGTATAGAGCTAATAAAAAAAGTCAAACAAACGAATTGGGATCAGAAACTTTATTCTATAAACCACTCTTGAGACCATTATAATATGCTAAAACTTTCAACTAAAAAGAAGGATTCCTTCTTGATATATCAACTCCTAAAAAAACTGGATTGTATGTTTTTTTTTTATGGAGTATTAGGGTTTTGGAGATATTTGATATCTCAAGAAAAAAGCCATTCCTTTTGGCTGAAAGTTTTAGGACGCTCTGATGCTCTCAAGAACTGTCGATAAGACAACGTTTGAAGCTAAAATTCATTTGTTCAATTTTTTTTATTAGTATCGTATCAAATGTAAAGGATCCAGTGAAACGACCATAACTTCGAAAAGACAACGAATGGGGAGGAATCCTTGTAGAATTTTTCTTGTCCCAACAGATCGTATCTAATGAGATTATCTCATCTCAAACGCTAGGTACCAAGCGGAATGGTTTCCTGATTAGCATTTGACAAATCAATTATTTTACATATTCACATATGAAATCCAATAACTGTTAAATAGAAATCTCTAGTATAAGCTGTGCGTACCATAGTTATTTTTCTTTTCGTTTGTCAATAAATCTCCTTACCTTGGGCACAAATAAACCATTTATCATCACATACGAGTCGATCTTGTTCAAAATTTTCCCATTTTGTTTCATCAGGAAGAATTGATTTCCATTTGTCATTATTGTCACTATCTTTATTCAATAAAATGTTACATACTTGACATGCAAGTTGACTGAACGGATTTGGTCCAAAAAGAATATCATTCAATGTTTCATTATCAATTTCTTTTTGATCAGGTTCTGATAATTTTTCAGATTTTCTCATAGCATCAATCACTAGTAATCGATTAAATTCACTTTCAAGATCTGACCATTGTTGTCGAGTAAGAAATAATGAATCGTTCTTTTCAACATATTCATAAATAGTCGTTAATATAATGTCACGTTCAGTAGAGACTTCATCATTTAATTTACGAAAAAGATTCACAACATATACAAATAATTCAGCAAGTTTTCTTTGGCGATTATTATCAATATTTCTTTTAACAATTTTAATCATATGTTCTGGTAATTCAGTATATTCGATTAAAGGACGTGAACTTAAACTATAATTATTCGCTAATGAATCAGAGAGAGTTTTCAACAAAATAGTACAATTTCCAATTCTTTGTTGAATCTTTTTTATCAGACGTGAATAACGTTTACATTTGATCAATGGATGTTGACATTTAGGACATCGAGGATATTCAGCATACATTAGTCCATTTGATAAAAAATTTCTTTAATAAAAAAAAACAGTAAATAAAAGATTTAAGAAATGTTTCAAATAAATGAAGAAAAAAATTTAATTAATAAACTTACTGTTGTTCAAATTTTTCAATATATTCATCAAGAATAGCAGTTTCAAAGAGATGATTACATTCAAGTTGGACAAAAGTAGCATATCTTATACCTTGCTGACGAATTGCTTTTTGAATTTCACTTGGTAAATCACTTCTACGACAAACCAAACAATCAATACAAGGTTCTCCACAAATTCCATTGCAATAATGTTCACATTCAAAACGTCGTGTACACTTTTCATTGCATGTTGCACGATCACATTCGTTTTTACATCGTTGTCCACAACGCAAATGTCTGCATTTATACTGACAGTACCGATTACATTGATACACAAAACATTGATTAATCTGACCAGGCATTCTCGGCACATCATCATGATCGCATTGTTTAGTGTATATTTGTTCACAACGTGGTCCAAGTTCATGACAACGTTGCTGACGACTGTGACCACATGTATAAACAATAAGTTCTTGTTGATCACATGGACGATGAAATCGACTTTGAAGACATGTTGAACATGTACCGGTACAACGATGTCCACATTCCTATACAACAATACAAATCGATTGAATAGCAAAACAAAAAGAAACAAACTAATAAAAACTCTTACAAGAGTAAAATCACATGGATGTGTACATAGCCGATCTCGTAATTCTTTATTTCTTAAATCACAACAACGTACTTGAACTTGATGTCCAAGACAACATGTATATGGAACAAGTACACCACATTCAAGTTGATTATTTTTACGCATAAAACAAACTAAATCACTTATATGTTCACAATTAGGCATTTTTAGTCGAATTGTTTCATGACATGGTAGACATATTGTTGTTGAATGACACTTCTTCTGACATTGATGTTCACAATCATCATATTTTTTTAGACAAGCCTTTTGACAAACTATTAAATTATGTGATGTATTATGACATGTCAATGGACATTGATGACCACATGGAAGACGAACTTCACATTTAAGTCCACATCCACCAAGAGGTCGCTTATTAAAATCATTTGGATGTATACATATTATTTGATTATCAAAATGATTAGGACAATGTATTGGAAGACCTATGATTTAAATATAAAAATCTTTAAATAAAAGATACTTTATAATAAACCTGATCCAATAAGTTTCAATTGTTTCATTTTATGAACAATAATTTTCCATGTTTCATTCTGTTCAGTAAGTAAATGAAAATTTCCAATAACATAAAATCCATTTTGAGCACGAGATAATGCAACACATATACGATTGTCAACAGCTACATAACCAAGACGTTGATCAGCATTGCTTCGTACAAGACTTAATAGAACAATTCGATTTTCTTCTCCTTGAAAATTATCTACCACCTAAATATATAACAAACTTAAATTTTAAGAAGAAATAATATTCATTTTTTTCCTTCTAAGATCGATATGAATATGTCTTTCTATTCGAATCGAATTTTCTTACTTATTAATAAATACATTTCATAAAACTACTTACAGTAACATGAATGCCTTTAAGATGTTTTAATTGATTGATTGATTTTTGAATTTGTTGCCGTTGACCCATATATGTTGTTAAAATAGTTATATCACTTTTTTCATAGCCTTGCTTAAGTAAATAATCTGCTAGTTGTAAAATATAAGTACTTTCATAAGGATTTCTTTTTGATACATCATCAGCAACATTTTCTTCAAAATTTCTATGATCAATAAAATAAAGTGGATGAGCTATACCAATAATCGATGGATGATTATATACGGATTCATGATTAAGTATAGGTATATCATAAAAATGATGTGTTAAACTAGAAATAATTGGAATTGAACGATGTTGAACACATAATTGAACAGATGGCATTTTATTTTTAATTAATCTTTCAAATAAAGATACATCAAGATTAAAATGTTTTGCTAATGTATAAACATTTGGTGATGGACGAAGTTGAACATGATCACCAATAAGAATTAAATGATCAATACGTTCCCCAATAGCTGTGACAATATGGGATTCAAATACCTTGAAAAAAAATCATATATTCATATTATTTGATATAAGAATTTCGTTTTCGCTATATTTCAATTTACTTCAGCTGCTTCTTCAACTATACAAATACGAGGAGCTATTTGTTTCAATACTTTTTGATATCGTGATGCACAATGAGTTGTCATAGCAATTCTAAAATGAACATAAAATAATTAGATAATAAGATTTGGTAAAATTCATTACATAAATGCTTTATCCATGTATATTTGATCATTTGCAAACCATAATTCTTGCATTGATTTATGATTTTCATCATATTGTTCATTTAAATGAAACCATTCGTCTATAGAAAAAAAGCACTTTGTAAATAATAATAAACAAAATATTTCATTCAAGAAATATGTTTTACAGACAACTCAAATCTATGGATTGAGTTCTTGTGATCTTTAATACTTTCTCAGTTTATAGGATTCTATGTCTTATAGTAGAATTATTAAATTCTCAAAACAACCGAAAATAAATAAATATTTTAAATAAAGTTCTGTTTTTTTTCAATTCATTTTTTATGGAAAAATAAAATATATTTTGTTGAACCTGTAAGTAATTGAACATATTTCCAAAGCCAATAACGATAAAGTGCTTGTCGTTGGTCTTTATTTATTGATGTTGACCATAACTCTTTGAGGTTCTTTACTTCATCATCTGATAAAAAGGCTGTTCTATTATTTAATAAATGTTGCATATATTCAAGTTGTTCTATATTAATTTGTTGATATTCTTTCTCATTAGTTTGATTAGGAATCGTAAATGGTATCAATACATTATCAATATTTTCTAATCGACGTAATTCTTCTTCATCTTCTTGTAAATTAACCGGATTCTCATCAACATTATTTGTATTATTTGATGTTGTTGTTAAAATAGGATCATTTAATATTTCTAAAAAAATCTTAGACCGATTTTTTGAAATTTGATAGACTTAAACATACCTTGTAAAACTGCTTTTGCTCTGTCTTTATTTTTCTTTTTCTTTTTTTTTCGTTGTTCCTGAAATTCACCATCACCATCATCCTCTATAAAAAAAATTGTATTTCAGAAGAAAGGTTTCTTTTTTTGTTCTAAACTATATAAAACGGACATTTGCTTGCGAAGATTGTTTTGCGGAAATTTTATGATCAAGTAATTCAAATCAGAACAAAAAGCTTACTGCTTTTACCAAGTAGGTAAATTCAAAATTATCATTTCATGCTTAATTTTAACCCATTACTCTCTGTTATCCATCCAATACAGTTAATGTTGAGCAAATCTCGGGAATAGCGCTTAAACAGATGCTAACTATGGCATTGGTTGAGCTAAATTTGGTTTAAGTCATTTCATTGTGGAGACGCAGAATGAGTTAAAAAGTGATCGATTCATTTTGAATGACATAAAAGTTGATTTATTATTTATTTGAATTTTTTATGGCTTTTCGCAGTTTTGTTGTTATTTTATTTGTGTAAAATTGGATAACCTACTTATCATAAATTATATTTTGAAAAATGATTCATGTAGGAAGATGATATATGGTTAGATACCTGCAAAAGCGCCTATTTTCAGAATAAAATTAGATCTTTCATTTCATGGATCACGCTAGAATCGTTAATCTTCATCTTTTTGTGTACTCAAAAAGTGAGTACACTCTAGAATCGGTCAGTGTGTCCGTCCGTTTACACGATAATTTTTGAAAGGAGAGTCCAATTGCGATGAAATTTTCCACACAGTTCAGTCTTAACAATGTCTCGGTCGAGTTCGAAGATGAGCAGGATCCGTCAAGAAATGGCTGAGTTATCGAAAAAATTGTCATTATTGAGAAGACCATCCNACAGAGTTACGTATTAGCTCATTTTGTTTTGACTATAACTCGTAAAAGAAAAATCGAAGAGTCGCACGAGATCTTCAATTGAAGAGAAATTTGTTCTGCAGATTTTGAGATCCACCCGAGCTCATAAAAACGTTTCTTCGAAAATCTATAACCAAAATACTAACACCCACTTTTGAGAAATCCAGCGAAAAAGTGGGTGTTAGTATTTTGGTTATAGATTTTCGAAGAAACATTTTTATGAGCTCGGGTGGATCTCAAAATCTTCAGAACAAATTTCTCTTCAATTGAAGATCTCGTGCGACTCTTCGATTTTTCTTTTACGAGTTATAGTCAAAACAAAATGAGCTAATACGTAACTCTGTGATGACACGCTGCAGCTAGCGTTACGTGGACAAGCTGTATAATAGTTTGGAATGTCCTCCCATCCGTATGAAAATCACTATCTAGTGCTGACCTCTTTTTGTTTCCTTTTTATGATTTTTCTTTTCTCAGAGGGATCACTAAGAGTACGAAAAAGAGTTATGTCGTAAATTCAAGAATCATTTTAATAGATAAAAAACAATGAGTGATGATGATGAGGTAAGAGAAAGCTTATTTACGAAAAAATAATATTTTTACCAAGAAATGTTTAGCCTCGTGTTGTACAAGATCAACCATATGATGAATCAATGGATGTAAGAAATCTATGAACTAATTTTAAATTTAAAAAAAATATCTTTTCCTCTTTTGAAAAGGTTGTTGATGGAGAAGAAGTGGCTAGTGTATATACACCACAGCCAACTAATCGAAGACCTCCAGGTTTGTAAAATATTTAAATAAATCATTTATGTTCATATGAATTCAAATATTTTTAAAAATAGAAAGTCTAGGTTCACCACGTAGTGGTCTTAAACATGCAAAACTTTTATCTATTCCAGGTTTATTTAATTAAATATCTGTAAAAAAAAAAACACATATGTGATAGTTTTCTGAATATTGTCTTGTGTAAAACTTGCTTTTTAATTTAAAACAAAGAATCCAAATTTGTCTTAGATGGTTCCAATTTGAATTTTTTAGCACCAGACTCTAATATAACTACTAGTGGAACGAAATTTTCTCGTGAACAACCAATTCGTCATCGACAAGATGATAGTCCCGGTGTTAGTCCTCGTGTATGATGTTTTCTTTTGTATTTTTATTTTTAAAATAATAATGTCTGTAATAGGATGATGATACACAAGGTGAAACAGATTCTGATCCTGCATCATCACAAATATTAAATGGTGTTCGTGGTCAAAAAGAATATAAAGCACCTGATCCAAATGCATATGATCCATCAATGTATCGAGATTTACCAGTATCATCAGAAATAAAAGAATTATTTAAATGTATTGAAAAGTAATTCAAAATAATTTGCTTCTTCTTCTTTTTTTTTCTTTAGAAGAAATTTTGTAAATGAAAATTTTCATTTAGATTTCAACCACAAGATATTGTACTTGAAACGAAACTAAAACCACTTATTCCAGAATATATACCAGCTATCGGTGATATTGATGCTTTTCTTAAAGTATAAAATATTGAATAGAAGCATTAAAAAAAAACAAAGATTTTTGGATTTTTTCTTTCATAAAGGTGCCTCGACCTGATGGAAAAGAAGATTCACTTGGTTTAATTGTACTAGACGAACCATCATCAAGGCAAAGTGATCCACGTGTACTTGTTCTTCAATTACTTCACACATCCAAACAACCTATGACAACGAGTTTGTCAAGTGTAAGAAAAACAAAATAAAAAAAGAACATTTATATTATTCTCTTGTTTTTTTTTTCTATTGACATAGACTGTCGGGAGTGTGCCAAACGCTGACAAAAAGCCAAAAGCAATTGAAGAATGGATACATAATATTAGTAAATTACAAAAGTCTAAGACAGTTGATACTGTTCAATATCGAAAGTAAGTTTTGAAAAATTGTAACTAATAGATCGGTACATTATAATTATATTCTTATAGGCCTATGCCAGATATTGATAGTTTAATGCAAGAATGGCCAGCACAATTTGAAGAACTTCTTAAAGAGGTTTTTTTTGATAATTATTTTATAATAAATGATCATTTTTTTTTTTGCGTTTCTAGACATCTGTACCACCTGCTGAAGCTGATATCGATTTGGCTACATATGCTGATATTGCATGTTGTATGTAAAATGCTTGTTTTTTGAAAATATTTGATTATATTTTTTCTGTGTGTTTAGCACTTCTAGATATTCCTGTATATGAATCACGTATTCAATCATTACATGCTTTATTTACACTTTATCTTGGATTTAAAAATTCTGAAGTAACATAGAAATATATATATATATAAATTTATTTATTTTTATGATTGTTTTTATAGCATTTTAAAGTAATGATGAATGTATCTGAACCACCAATTCGTCGTGGAGGAAATAATAATGAAGCCAATCAGATGATTATTGATTAATATTGTTATGTTAAATGTATATTTTCACATTAATTCATTGTTTTACTGTCACTTTTTAAACCAGAAATAAAAGAAAGAAAAATTTCAAATTGTAGTGAAAATTATCAAGTGTTACTTTAAATTTCTAAATCAAATTAAATTCATAGAAATGAAGATTAGAATTAAAATTATTTAAGCTAGAATCTTTATTAACGAGGAAATTTCTCCAATGGTTAAATCACTTTTGAGTCAAGACTTTCAAGTGTAGTGTGAGCGAATAAATAAATATGTTCAATATTAAACAGAAAACTTTAAATTGATTAAATTTTTTGAACATCTTTGTGTATTCAAGATATTCACATGGACTGTCAAGATCTTGTCATGCGAAGAGATTCTAAATTTACTAAGAAAAGAAGGCAATTCTGTTAAATTGATATCATAAAAAAGCACATCAAATACAATTGAAGTTTGGAATAACTTTCACCAAGTTATGCTATATAAGAAACAAAAAAGGGTTTTCGGAGTCTCCTACAGGTCTCTATCCAAATGAACTATCAATAGCTTGCAAAGAGTTCGTATTTCTTTAGCATATTGATGCGGAAAATCTGTATTTTTAGAGTACTTTTTAAATCAATGCTATGATAATAGAAAAACTAATTTTCAAATTTCTACTTGAAACTTTACACAGAAGTAGGCCTTAATAAGAGTAGTTTCAAGTCTTTTGATTTGCTTTCATCTTGAAATAAGAAAATAAAATCTGGCGTTTTACATGAGTGATGTAATAAATACACTCTCTTTCCATAGTTGTATCTTAGGATATGAACAGAGACAAAATCTGGAACATTCACAAAAAAAACTATTCTGTCTTTATGCAAAGTTTTCAAGTTGAAATTCGAAAATTAATTTTTTTCTGAACCACACTATTCATTTCAAGAATATCGTAAAATTGCATTATATTCGAAACAATTCAGTTAAACAGTACGAACACTTTTCAGGCTATTCATAACTCACTTGGGTCTACATAGTGCACATAGTCTCAACTCAAAAATAATTTATCAATTGGAGGATTTTCTTCGTAAGATATAAACTAATATTTAAAGTCTACTTCTAATCTTAGAGAGATATACTTCATGAACTATCATGCGTTTTTGTCATTGAAAACCCACAGTTTTGATAAAATGAACGTTTACAGTGACATAATATGTATGAATAATTTTTAATTAAATTTAAAGACGTAATATCTCTTTTGTTGATGTATATAAAAATAACTTTTATGACAACGAAGATTAGATTAGTAACACTAAAACTACAACTCAAATAGTTAAAGACTTATAGAGAATGTTTTGTACATGTTTTCTCTTCCGGAAGAACCATTTGAAGCGTAAGAAGAGCAGAAAACTATTTTCGGAAATGTTAATACATAGTCCTACAATGCAGTAACTATGAATTTTGAGGAAATAAACTAAATTTCTACGAGGACGTTGTTTCACGCTGAATAAAACATTCATAGTATTGTTAATCTACTTCGATTATTAACAAAAAAGAGAATGGCGCGATCTTAATCAGTATTTGTGAATTTTCTTTCTTGAATATTTACAAAAAAAAACGACTAATTCATGTCTTATGGTAAGAATAATTTTCAAAAGACTATTAAATCTAAATGAATGTTGATGTTTCTATTGAAATAAAAGTACAAACACTTGATATCATTATTTTATACGTTCGAAGAGAAAAAGGATGCTAATTGTTTTTTTTATTTCGAAGGTTATCTCAAATTCAATCTTATATATATATATATAGGGAGAGAGAGAACTAAGTATAACAATGTCGAAATACTTCAGTAAAAAAAAAAAACTTACCTAATTTACAAGGTTATTCAATATCGAAGTCCAATGATCAAGTAGCGACCTCTGTCAATAAATAATTGCAACGAAAAAGAACTGATAAATCTTATTTCTTTTCTTGAATTTCTTATTTAAAATTTCAAACAATTAAATTGAACTTCTAATTCTAAAATATCTATCTATATATAAATATTTGTTTGTTCAAAAAAATGTATCCATCCATTATATACCTTTTCGATATTAAATCATCCTTGGAGATTTTCTCCATATGTATGTATGTCTCCTTCTATTCTCATATTGGCCATTTAAATTTTGTTTTAATTATGGGAGGAAAAAAGAAGAAAAAGAAAGATGAAATCTATTCTTCTTATCAAAATGAAATTTTACTTTCAATTATCTTTTTCTTTTTTCTGCTAACATTTGTTTCATTTTAGAAGTGTTCATTGGTGGATTATATATTGTCCATTTTTTTTCCGTCCTTTATTATTTTCTTCGATAAATAATGTTACTATATATTAATCCAAGATTTTTTTTATCGATTATTTTCATAATTCACTATCGAGGTAAGCATCTTTTATTAAGAAAAAAAAATCATATCTATTAAATATTACTATATGTACACATCGTCTGTGACCCACAACAGAAAAAGAAAAAAAAATTTCGAAGGCAAAAAAAAAAAAACGAAGAAGAAAAAAGGGACGCAGCAGCCTATATAGATGAGAGAAAGAGAACATTCGTATTCTCTCTTCTTTTATGTAATATTGAACGTGTGCGTATGTGTTTGCGTGTGTATGTATGTTTGAATATTTAACAAGGAGAATCACACGATGAACAAGTAGTCATTCGTTCGTTTTTTTTCTTCGTCTTATTTAGATTCTATGGCATCGATCGAATGAAGAAAAGAAGTGATACAATAAATTTATATTATTAAATTTTTCTTCTTCGTCGTCGTTATTATTCTTCTTTTTTTGTATTCCTCGAAAACTTTTCTTTTCCTTGACTCTCATGAATTCGAATCCGACTGCTATTGCTAATGGTACAGGTGCTGGTTCACGTTCAACAACAACGAATCGTTTATTACGTTCAACAACAACAACAACAACAACACTTGGTTCACATTATCAAATAGGTCGTATATTAGGTTCAGGCAATTTTGGTGAAATTCATTTAGGTCGTAATACAGAAACACACGAACATGTTGCTATTAAATTAGAACAAACATCAACACGTACACCACAATTAGCACATGAATATCGATTTTATTCAGTGTTAGGTAAACATGATGGTGTACCACAAGTACATTTTTATGGTCAAGCTGGTCCATGTAACGCACTTGTTATGGAATTATTAGGACCATCATTAGAAGATTTATTTGATTTATGTTCAAGACGTTTTTCATTAAAAACAGTTTTAATGATTGCTTTACAATTGTTAGATAGAATTGAATATGTTCATTCAAAAAATCTTATTTATCGAGAGTAATGAATAAAAATTAATAACTAATCTTATTTTCTTTATTGTTTATATTTATAGTATTAAACCAGAGAATTTTTTAATAGGACGCGGTAGTACAAATCGTCAACATATTATACATATTGTTGATTTTGGTTTAGCAAAAGAATATCGAACAAGTGATGGAACACATATACCATATCGTGAACATAAAAGTTTAACTGGTAAGAAAAAAATAAAAACAAAAATTTATTTAAAAATAATTTTATACATTTAGGTACTGCTCGATATATGTCGATTAATACACATCTTGGTATATTTGATTTTATTAAAAATTATATTTGAATAATTATTTCTTTTTTTTTGTTTTGTTTAGGTCGAGAACAAAGTCGTCGAGATGATTTAGAAGCATTGGGTTATATGTTTATGTATTTTCTACGGGGTAGCCTACCGGTATGATAATTGATTTTTTGGTTTTTACTATTTTGTTTTATTCGGCAATGATTTTCTGTATTTTGATGTTATACAAATTTCTTCGTCTATAATAGTTGAATTCGGATATTCTCGTTTAGTTATTATTAAAAATAAGCTTTAATCGAAAATAGTATGAGTTGTAATTTTTTTTTATTTGCTTGAAAACAATGATCGGATGGATTTATAGTTAAATATCGTATTTAATGTTTTTTTTTAGTGGCAAGGTTTAAAAGCAGATACATTGAAAGAACGTTATCAAAAAATAGGCGATACAAAACGCTTTACAACGAATGAAATGTTATGTGAAGGTTATCCTCGTCAATTCTTAATCTATATGCGAACTGTTCGTCAAATGGAATTTGCTCAAGAACCTGATGTATGTTGTTTTGTTTTGATTTTTTGATTTTTGTTTTTGATTTCTTTAAAAACAAGAGAAATAAATTCTAGTATGATGGATTACGACGATTATTTCATAATGCACTTAGTGAAAATAATCTTATTAATGATAGTGATTTCGATTGGGTTAAACGTTTACAAGAACATCGATTAAATCGTAGTAAAACAGTAACAACAACAGCTACTAATACAACTATAGCTGGTGTGACATTAACTAATGTTCCAACAACATTATCAACTGGTTTAAATAATGGTAATACAAATAAAAATACAACTACAGTAACAAATCCATCGTCATCAATTGTACAAACACCAACGACTCGTAATAATAATAATAATAATACGACTAATGAATCTCGTAATCGTTCAACAGTTCAACGTAATGCATATCAACAACGTCAATTACCATTAAGCTCAACAAATCGCTCAACAAATCCAACAACAGCAACATTAAATGGTGGTTCAAAAACAACTTTATCAATGGCAAGTACAAGTAAAATTCAACTTACATTACCATCATCATCATCATCGCGTACAGCTATCGAAAATCATCGACCAGGACCACCACCAACTAAACGTCGTGGTTTAATACCACCACCACCACCATTACCTTATTATTCTTATAATCATACACATCAACAACAACAATCAGCTAATGTAAATAATTCTAATAATATACATATTAGTAAAGAACAACATTCATCTATAATTGGTCCACCATCAGAACCAACATGTTGTTTTTTTAAACGTAAAGCTAAACGTGCTTTACAAATAACATCTACTACACCTCGAAGAACTTAGCGATTCTTGTTATTTTTTTTTTCTTTCGTACTATACATATATATATATAGATACTATCTCAATGTTAAATAAAACAAAATTTCAGAACGCAGCAGGCGTCAGATAAATGAACTTTTCTCCTTTTGGATATTTATTCTTTCGTTTTGCTCCTGCTGCTCCATTCCTGCCTCGCGCTTTCATCTAAACACTATATTTGTTTGAAATCCCTTTTTTTGTCTTTATTGCGCGTGTGCGTTTTTTTTTTTGGTTCCAGTTTTTTTGCTATTACAAACTTTATTAGTTGAATTATTATCATACACTATATTTGACAACAGTGTTTTGTCTATTTGATTTTTTTTTCTTTTTTTTCTTGCAATATGTTTTTCTGCTTCTTGAATTCATCTCATCATGCCTCATCTTGTCTTTTTTTCTGTATTATTTCATTCTGTTTTTTTTTCTCATTCATCTTGGGATAAATAATAATCAACCATTTAATATATGGTTATATTTCAGAAAGAAAAAAAAATAAAGAAGATCAAAAAAAATGTCCTCTGATCAGAAGACAACAACAACGACAGCATCATCTGATGTGACACCAGGTTTTCAACTTAATCAAAAAAAGTTGAAAGAACTTGCTGAACAGGCAAATGCAATTAAAATTGGTGGCAAAGTTCGTTGATGATTTTTCTAAAATTTATTTCTATTTGGATTTGTTTTGTATTAAGGGTACAGCTCGTCGTAAAAAGAAAATTATTCATCGTCCAGCTAATGCTGATGATAAAAAATTACAAAGTTCATTAAAAAAACTTGCTGCTAATAATATTCAAGGCATTGAAGAGGTTAGATATTTAACAAACACAAAACAAGAGATTTTTCTAACATTTTTCGTATTAAATAGGTTAATATGTTTAAAGATAATGGTGAAGTTATTCATTTTTCAAATCCTAAAGTACAAGCATCACTTAGTTCAAATACATTTGCTATTAGTGGACATTCGGATACAAAATGTAAATATAGACAAATAAGTTTTTTAAACATTCTTTTCTGTTTACATTAGCTTTACAAGAAATGTTACCAACAATAATGTCACAAATGGGTATGTCAACTGACAGTGTTTTAGCTAGTGAAGCAGGTCGACGTAAATTTCCTATGCGTACTGATCAACAATCAGGTAATGAACAAACTGGTACAACAAATGAACAAACAGGTGCTGATGCTGATGATGAAGAAGTACCCGGTATATATATATATATTAAGATAATAATTTAATTTATTGATTTATTTTTGAATTAATAGATCTTGTTGAAAATTTTGACGACGTATCAAATGCAAAGTGATTATTTAATCTTCATCATTATCAACGAGCAGCATTTCAAAACGTATAACAGTTGTTTTCTGTCAATTTTTTTTTATTGTTTTTTTTTCACTGAAGAAGACAACAAAAATAAAAGAAACGAAATAAAAAAAACCTATGAAATAGAAATCTTTTGTTTCCATAGCAAAACAAAAATTAACTGATAGATCATAATGAGTTGGATTAAATGTAAATGTAATTGTCCTTTTATTTAATTTCATAGAAAAATATTCATTCAAATATTGACCTCCTTTCGAATATACAAGGCTTATTGAGAAATTGAAAATATCCTCCATAATGTTTTTTTGAGAAGATTTTTTTAAACATTGAAGGTTGCTTTTTGAATTCAAGTCCAATTGCAAACTTCTTACTTAGACACTAAAAACAGTGCACTGCAGGGTGTTGGTTGCTTAGAAGTAAAAAAAGTGTTCTTTGTAAAAGTGAAGTATACAATTTTATAGAGCTCGAAATTCTCTATGTTTTCATATATAAATAAATAGTAAATGATTGAAAAATTGCATTTACAATTAGTCCGATTGCTAATTGTCCACCTATTACAATGGCTAATATGTTTGTTTCTTACGTATTCTTAACATTGATTTAATAGTCATGTCGTCCTTTGCATTCACACAAAAAAAGAAATTAACATGATACAAAAAAAAAAGAAGAATAGTATTGCATTTCGTTTCATCGTATATTGTTCCTTGCATCAAGTTAAATATGATAACGATACACACAATAGGAGACAATGATAGCTTTTATAATAATATAAATGTCTTTCTATTGTTTTCTTTTTTTTTTCTTTTTTTTTTTGTATATTATAATCAACTATAGAGAAACAAAACAGGCAATTTTGTATTGACAAGCAGAAGGTTCGATATAATTAAAAAAGGTAAAGAAAAAAAAAGAAAAAGAAGAAAAAAGACAGAAAGGTAAAGCAAAAATTAATGATTGAAAGAAAATGTCTACCAATATGTATGTACGCATATATGTTTACTTTTAAAAAAGAATGATGAGCGTTTACTATTGAAATTTAATCGGATATTATGTTTTAATAAATATTTTTGTTTATAGATCGAATAATTATTTATGATCATATTCAAAAGTATATTTAATCAATGAATATATAGTTTTTTTTTTCATGATATTTGAAAATTAAATTCATAGGATTATAGATTTCAAAAAAAAAAGAAGAAACGTAAGTTTTTGTTTTTTAATAACTACTAATACAAATGATATGGAGAGCTGTGATTTATACCATTAGATATAGGTGATGACGATGTATTGGATCATGTCTTACAAGGTCTTTGTACTAGATTTCTCAGAACGGTTCTAATGAATTTCTTCAATAAAACCAAGCTCTCTGGATGAATTCAAAAATCAAATTTCTATGAAAATATGCTTAAAAGAAGTCAAATTTTCTAAAAAAACAAAAAATAGAAATCGTGTAGAAGCTTGTATTAAATTGCCAATAACTTTATAGATGTTCGATTGATGGTTTCAAAGCATTTCTGAAGATAGACAATTTATTATGATGACCAGGTATAGTACATGGGTTGCTAACAAGCTAGATTAGAAACACTTAAGAAAAAAAAGAAACTTGACAGAAACGTCATTAATACACAAATCGATGCGTCATCATTTTCTCTATCTAATGGTGAAAACAGCATCTTCCTATCTTATTTATGTGAAACTGTATTCAAAAACGCTCGTGCTTTTTTTTTTCTTTTCAAATCGATAATTGTATACCATTTTTCGAATCATTGAGGAATATTGTTACAATTCAAACAGATTATTCAACTGAAAACATTGTTCTATTCATCAATGTATTTCATTTGTTGCCCTCTTTTTAATCGACATTTAGATTATTTTTTTTATAATTCATTATTAAAAATTCGAGTTTTATATGTAAAGATGTCATTACAACATATTTGAACAATCAATTATTATTCAAAATTTCTATTTATTCTTTCTCATTAATCGTTATTTTTATATTGATAGTTCTTCTAGAACAACGAGCGAATAAGACAACTTATACACATATAATAAAACACTTAAACAGATCGATTTGCCATTTGCAATCTGTCTTGCACTGGTAAGTTGTATTCGTTTCTTTGAGGCAAATACACATACGTTATGTATAAGTAAAAGAGAAAAGAAAAACGAAGGTTATCTTCTATTATAGGTATCATGTTCCATTGTTATAACATTCTTCTTCTATGTTTATTCTTTACATGTTCACTATCGATTGATATTAAAAAAAATCATTCTAATCGAACAATTGTTCCATCAAGAACAATTTATGACTTAGTTCAAATACGTATGGCTGCTTCTCGATTTGCTGCTTCTCGTAATAGAACACATAGAAACATAAGTACAAATAATTTCCATCCATCCGAAATCAATTCTTTAAATATAGATAATGATAATATACATGTACATCAAAATATAACAGATGGTTTTATAAATAATTATAATCGATTTATAAATGAACGCTTAAGAGCAATCATTATAGTTAGTAGTTCGGCATTAACATTTATGATAATAGTCGTTATTATATGTATAATTAGAACATATCTTAAAAATAATTATCCAATATCTATGACAGTAACTGAACAAACAACACCATTGAATCCATCAAGAAAAACAAATAAAACAGTAGGATTTTCTCAATCAAATCGTGATACAAAAAATTTTTCACGTAAATCAAGGACATTACCAGTGAATGTATAAATATTTATGTGATTGATTCTTTTCTGTAAAAATATCTTGAAAAAAATAGATTGTAATACGCACATTTGTTTTTGTTTATATTATATGTAAAATTAATGGATTCATGAAATATTTTTAAGGTGTGTTTTTTTAGTCACTAATACTTGTTTTCATCTTATTTCTTAACTATATCGTTCGATTGTTTGGTTGATCCATTTAAGATAACGTGATACACGTGTATAAACTCCATAGGTACCATGACGAGCACATTCTACTCCCCATGATACAATACCTATCAATATAGGACCTTGATCCGAATAACAAACTAATGGACCACCTGAATCTCCATTACAAGCATCACTACCACCATGCCAATAGCCAGCACATATATGAAAATCTTTAATACGTCTTGGTCGATGACCTCGTGCACTAAAGAAAATATTCAATGATAAAATTAGAAATAAAAATAAAAATAAAAATTGAAGTCGAAATACCATTGATCCCGTTCAACGATAGGTACTGTTAGATATTTGAGTATATAACTTTGACGTGTATCTTTGACAGTACCAAAACCTGACACGATGCATTGTTGCATATTTTCAAGAGTTATTTTCTCATTTTTTGCATTAGGTAATTGAATAGGTCTGACACGATTAGTTAATCGAGCACGATTTTGTAATTTTAATAGAACTAAATCATGATCATTTCGAGTTATATTACCATCTTTTGGATCACCCCTAAAATATGACCATAGGTAATAAATGTTAGAGACAAGGAAAAAATCGAAATATCAGTTATGATGAAATTTTTATTTGATTATTACCAAGGATCATATCGTGGAAATTGAAAATATGCATCAATACGTGAAACTTGTACATATTTTGAATCAGCTCGATCCAAATAAGTAACACCAATAACAGCATAAAAATTTTGAATTGATGTAAAACTAAATATATATTATTTGATGAAATAAATCAAAGTTTATTAAAAAATAAAGACACTTACTATTTAAGACAATGTGCTGCACTTAATATCCATTTTTCATGAATTAAAGCTCCGCCACAAAAATGATCTCCATTATTATTAATCGATACTTGATATGGAAACTAAAACATATAGAGATCAAACATAATCTTAATAATCGATTGAAAATATCTATTCGATTTACTTGTCCAGGTTTTGCTAGATGACCTCGTATGATTCGACGAATTCGTTTTAATATTATTTTATTGTTTGTTCTATTTTCTGTTGTTTCATATTGATGAGCCAGACATATAACAATAACTATTAACCCTAAGAAACTTTTGATTCGTTTCATTCTATTACTAGTTTTACTGCTTCATACGTTTTTGTTTCATTTCATACAATGATCAAATTACAAAGACCTTGTAGTGATGAAATTAAATTACGACCATGTTATTTTGCTTTTGTCTAAGTACATACAAGAACAACAACTATTTTTCTATTATTAGAATGCCAAGTTTTGAAGAAACTCTATTGTTTTATTTTAAAAGAATATTGAAAAATACTGCAAAATAAATATTACTGACCATCTCTTTGACGAGAAGTCCTTGAAAAAAATAAAAAAATGTATTGAATTTTAGAAATGTGGCATACTTTCTTCTTACACAGCTTCTTATCTTTTGTCATTGATTTTTAACGAATCACAATAACGAAAATTCTTTTCTTAGACTTTTTCTCTACATTTACATAGATCATGATTACGATAAATTAGTCAATCAATGGTAATAGTATTTATATTAATGTTAATTTCATTTTATATATAATACTTCTTGAATAATTTCAGCTTTTCCTAGAGTCATTTACAACCAATATTCAACAAATTAAAAACTAGAATGTCAAACAATGTTAATAAAACCATACTTTCAATGGAATTTTCTAATGGAAAATGGATAGCTTCCATAAATATAGTAGATGCTTTTTTTCGGTTTTTTATGTATTTGGTGACTAGCGCGTCCTATACTTTGTTCAGACGACGAGAGTCCATCGAGTCCAAAATTTTCGAAACTGGATCCAACAAGGTTTGGAATCAACTTGACGGGCTCTCGATACGAAATACTTCATGATGACATCATATTATCTTTTTTTTCACAAACCACATCTGTACTTATGTCTACATTCAATTTAATAATGATATTTTTCGAATAAATACTAGCTTTTCCTTGAACATAAATTCATGATAAACTAACAACGTTAATACGTATGAATGGAATATAAAATAAAAAATCAAGACCTTTTCTTTTTCTCTTTTCTTTTCTTTTTTTTTACACATTTACCCTCTTTGATGAGCACATCAATACAAAAGAACGACAATGTTTCTTCTTCCTATGAAGTACATGTGTTTTCATTTTATATATTTCCATCCAAAAAAAAAAAAAGTGGTAACGAGAGAAAAAAAACGACACGATGCAGTTTCACCTTTTGCAGGAAGAGAACCCAATAGAAAGAAAAAGAAAAAAAACTGAGTGATCATTTTTTCTTTGTGATGACAAACAAATGGACGAATATGCAAATCAAGCGCAGCTGTTGTCGAATTCATCAGTATCTCAAAATGACGTAATAATTACTGAGCTGACTCCGTTAACAGCTATTCAATCTGACGGAGGCAAACGAATACAATCAGCTCTTCCGGAAATTTTAGAATGGAGCACTAGTAAGCTTAGTCAAGTAAGAGATTATAGTATTCGTTTTTTTCCAATGTTATATTTTTTTCTTATAGATATGTCGTGAAGGTGATATTGTTCGTTTAAATGAGTTTGTTGAATATAGTAAACAAACATTAAGGTGTGGTAAACATGCATCTGAAATAGCTGATCGAATTGATTTAGAAACAGGCCTTTCACCGTTACATCATGCTGCTCGTTATCAACAATTGGATATTTGTCTTATTCTTTTATCTAATATTGATTTTAAGTAAGTCGAAGAAAACGATTATTATGTAAGTAAATATAAAGATATTCTATTTTGAATAGATTAGGTGTTAATATTAAGGATGCACATTATCGAACACCGATTCATTCAGCATTTCGTTCATCGAATAATTTAAATACAAATAATTCTACGTTAGAAAAACAATTTGATGTGGATATTAATTTTGGCGATAAAGTATTTTTTGAATTTATTTATAGTTTTCTGAAAAATAATTCTTAATCATACAGATCCAAAAAATTGAAGATTGGCAAGAAGAATATCGAAATGAAATTCTTTCAAAAGATCATCCATTAATTTATTTATTTGCTAAAGTTAATGGAGATATTAATGCACTTGATAAATATCTTCTTACACCACTTCATTATGCTGTAGCTCGTAATAATCTTGCTGGTGTTAAACAGTTAATAACACTCAAAGCGAAGATTGAAGTGAGTTTTGAAAAAAAAAACAACAACTTATAAATATTCAAATATTTATTTAATTTAGTCATCAGATCGTCAAGGAATACGCCCATTACATTTAGCATGTAAAGAAGGTTATTTATCAATTGTTGAATATTTAATTGAACACAATGCAGAAATCGATCCTATTGATGCTGATAAATGGACACCCTTGCATTATGCATGTGCTAAAGGACATTTAGATATTATTAAATTAATTAATTCAAAAGACAAAATAAAGTTTCGAAAACTTATTCAAATGCAAACAAATACGCAAGCAACATGTATACACTTAGCGGTACAACATGGAAATATTGAATCAGTTGAATTTATTCTTAGTGAATTTAACGGTGATGATTTAAAAACATTACTTAATGAACAAATAGAAACATTTGGAACTCCTTTACATATAGCAGGTAACTATTTAATATACAATCAAATAAAATTAGATGATATTTAAAAATAAATTGTCCTCCTCAAATTCTAATATGTCAATAGATATTAAAACAAACCGATGAAAAGAAAGTTGAATCAATCGAATATTTGTGAAACCAAAGAAGATAACTTTCATAGGAAGAGTCTGTTAACATTTTTATTATTTTTTTCTAGCAAAATTTTGTGATCCATCTATGCTCAATCTTCTTTATCATCATGGAGCTGATCCATTAATATTAAATTCACACAATCAATCACCACTACATATAGCCAGTGCTTCCAATCGACTACCTATCGTTAAAGAATTACTTTCTCTTACTCATTCATCTCTATTAGAAATAAAAGATAAACGTGGTCAAACAGCTTTATCCGTAACAACAAATCTCGATATTGTTAATGAATTAATTACATTTGGTGCTGATATTTCAAGTCTTGATAATAATCATATGAATGTATTAATGATTGCTGTATCTAAAAATCAACTATCAATTGTTGAGCATTTATTATTTCCTATTAATGATCAATTTATAGAAATATTTGATCAAGTAACAAAAAGAGATAATCGTACAATATTTCTAATAGCTGTTCAAACAGGTTCTGTCGAAATGTGTTCATTATTATTAACTCATCCATATGTTCGTTGGGATACAATTGATAAACAGCGTATGAATGCATTTCATATAGCTGCTCGAAATAATCATCCTCAATTAATTGAATTGCTTAGTGAACATATAAAAAAAACTGATAGATTAATGTCAGTATATAGTCGCAGTTATTCAATGACAATAACAAGTTCTGATTCAATCAATATTTCACAATCATCACCAACTTTACATATACATATTGATGCGCAAAATGAAGATGGAAAAACTCCATTACATTTAGCTGCTGAACATGGCCATAAATTGTGTGTAGAAGTTCTTCTTAAGTATGATGTTGATGTTTTATTTCCAAATTATCTTGGACAATTAGCACTTCATGTTGCTATACAAAACGGTCATAGTGAATGTGTTGATTTATTAATAAAAGCTTCAACAAGAAATATAGCTGATTTTCAATCGGTTTTATCAAGACGACAATCACCATTGATAACTGCTTGTCAAAATGGATTTGTTAATATTGTTCGCCTTTTACTTTCTCAAGAGAGTGGAATTGATTATGAAAATAATGATAAAGAAGAAAAAAATCCATTAGAAATAGCCATTGAATATCGACAGATTGAAACCATTCATACACTTCTAGATCATCCACATATAGAACATTGGCTTATGTCAATACGAAAAATAAAACAAAATTTTCATCAAACACCATTAAGAGATATGATTCGATATACACCACAATGTGCTAAACATGCATTTGATAAATTAATATTAACAACAAATGAAATTGATCTCGATGGAAATACATTCGAAAGAATTACATATAACTATAAATATATTGATGATTATTTTATGTAAGTACAAAGATCTCAATTGTCATATTTATACATAATCGATAAGAGTACAAATTAACGAAAATTATTGTTTTTTTATTAGAAATTGTAATTTTCAATCAAAAAACCAAAGATGTTTCAAGTTTTCATTTGACCAATCTTTACAAACCAAAAGACGAATTATTACTACTTTATAACTATAGCTCGTTTTTTTTCTGTACAAAAATATTGTACTTTATCTATTCGTGCATAGAAATTCATGAATTAACCTAAAACTAACTCAAAATCTAGGACATATCCAGTATTTGATAACACTTATTTCTTATGCAGCAACATTTCCAGATGGTCAGCTGTTTTAGCCTTCATATTTTGGATATTTTCCCGTTGGATGTGGGTGTGGGTATTAAATTTCTCTACTTCCACAGACATAAGGATTGAAAGACTGGCACCAGTAACTTAATGCAACTATTACTCTCTCCGATCGAAACTTATAGACAGTGATTGATGAATCAAAGAAAGGTTATGCGTTCAGCAGGGCTGTGATGAAACAATTTGACAATAATATGAAAAAACCTCCACGAATTAAAAAATTTACGTTTTAGAATCAACAAAAATTCTTGACTTCATAAAACAATATAAGAAAATTTTTTTTGTCGTTAGATGAATATTTTAATAAGATTAGTAAATCATTAAAATATTATTTAGTTGCCAATATTTTATGAACTATTGAATTATGTTCTCATTTTTATTATTACAAGGACTTTTCTAATATAAAATTGTGTTTGTCTTTTTTTATAAAATACTTTTGAGTAAAAAGTATTAATGAAACAAGACCAAATCCATATTTTGTTCATATGCAGAGGGTCACTATATTAGCATAATCTCCAAAGAATTCTTTTTCGTGTTTAGATTGGCCTCAACACCAACTTTTCTATAAATTTCCTCTGCACAAGTCCGGTTTTCGAAAAAACACGTGGCATTTTGAAATTCCAATATGAAACTTTGTACAGATGAAGGCCTCGATTAGACTATCTCATATGTAAAGTTTCATCAATTTTAGATATCGCACCACCAGGATATGAATACCTCTATACGTTCATATCTTACATAACACTTAAAGGTAAAGCATTATATATGAGATAGCCAAAGACCTTCATCTGCACGAAATTTTACCTCAAAATTTCATAATTGGATTTTTTTTGATAACTGAAATTCTGCAGAAATCCATTAAAAAAATCAATATCTCTATCAAATCTAAACATAATCAGAAATCTTTTGCAGTTTACGTTGCTATAGTAATTTTCTACGTATTGGCAAAATATCGAGACATACGAAGCCGATCACCTGAAGATGTTGTCTTGTCAGAATAAATCACATTCAAGATTAACGAAAAAAAAAACAAATTTTTTTAATAAAACAACAAGTTCTTCAATTTTTGTTTTTATTATTAGGAGTAATGGTAAATTATATGCTCCAAATAGTCATCAACTTTATCGTAATCATCCATTTATAATCGCTCTTGATAGTGAATGTCATTTTTTACTTGAACATCCATTAGCTCGACAACTTATGCTACGTAAATGGAAATTATACCGTCCATTTTTTTATTTGACACGTATACTAACATTTATATTATTACTTTTTTTAACATTCTATGTTCTCGTTGTACCTGCACCAAATACAAAATCATCAACAGATTTATTTTTACCATTAAATGAAAATTTTGTATTACCTATGCGATGGATTATTGTTATTTTAGCTGGAATGAATTTATTTAAAGTACTTTTAGAAATAATACTTTATCGTGGTTTACGTGTACCGTTTGCCCAATTATTTGGGATGATTTCATTTCTAATATCAATTATTGCTTTAATACCATATGGACAAATTAATGAAAGAATTCATTGGCAATGGCAATTAACAGCATTATCAACATTATTACAATGGTTTAATATAGCATTAATATTACGTTCAGTTCCATTTGTTGGAAATTTTATTGTTATGTTACAATCTATATTAATTAATTTTGTTTCATTAATATGTGTTTTTTTACCATTAATTATTGGATTTACAGTAGCAACAAAAATGATTTTTTTTAATCATTCAGCATTTTTCTTTATTGTTGGATCAATGCATAAATTATCAGCAATGTTGATTGGAGAATTTGATTATGAAACATTATTTTTTTCTAAACCAATATTTATAACAGCAACATTACTTTTTATACCATTTATTTTTATAATGGCAATTGTTTTCATGAATCTTTTATTAGGTTTGACTATTGGTGATTTGCATATTTGTATGAAAAATGCACAAGCAAAAGCAAGTAAGATTCATAAAATATCTTTCTTTTTCTTTTCTTTTGTACTTTATTGTTCTAGATGCTTATCAAATTCGTGAACTTATTTATATTGAATCAACGTTACCAAGGATAAAATGGTTAAAATCAAATATAGTTGAAAATGAAATGATCGATAACTATTCAAAAGACTCAATATCAAAAAAGCATGATGATGAAAACGAAGATAATGTTCACAATGAATATTCATTAAATCATCAACGTATTGTTGAACTTGGAAAATTACTTGATATTATCAATATGTTATCTACACAAGCTAAACAAGTTTTAGAAAAAGAAATTAATTTAGAAACAATACTTAGACAATTATTAGCAGTTAGAACAGCTCAAGATTAAAAGGTTCAAGTTCAAATGGTTTAAATGCGTCGAAAAAATAATAGCAAAATATTCAAAAGTTTTTGATTTTCGTTGAAAGTTTTTTTTTCTGAAACATCTATTGTAATAAAAAATGAAATTGTTAGCTTAATCCCTGTAGAATCAAAATGTGAAACACAATGTAACTCTCGAGACAAATTGCTGGAAGATTCTTTTATTCTATCTATTTTGCAACACATTTCTTCACCTTAATTGTCCAGAAATGCAATAAGGAAATAGTTCATATATGAGAACAAGACATAATTGATAGACGATCTGCGATCGTATGTCAATGCCTGTCACGGTCTATGACGTCTGGAAAGTGTTGCGAAGGTGTCTGTCATGGTCTGTGACGCTCTGTCGATCCCATTTGTCATGGCCTATGAAGGAGGAGGTCGAAGAGTGAATGCAAACTTTTACCCTAAATACATCAAGACTTCTTTTAGATCATGTTTCATAAGAACAAAATAAATAAAATTGAACAGTTGATATCCAATCCTCGTAAAATATCGTTTCATTATTATTCCTTATTGTCATGGATATCTTTTTTTTTTATCATTTCTAAGCATACATTTTATTGTATTCATGATTTCCTCAGTTTCAAACTCATCGACTTTGTAAAAGGAATATTCTGCATTTTGTTGAAATAATAAAGTATGCCTTGCAGATATAAACGTAAAACCTTTTTCTGATTTTAAATTGTTTATTTTCTATTACTTTTAGAAAGAACAATAATAGTGAATAATCATAAGCTTTTATGTAAAAAAAAATAGAAATACGCAAGTTTTGTTCTTAAATAAAACAATCATTTTCGGTTCTTTTTTCTTCTTACCATTAATTGATAATATTTTTCCTATAAATAATATAAATAAAAGTTTGTGATTTCATTGACATCTCATATTATATTCAATATAAAAAATAATCTGTTGTCTTAGTAATTCGATGAATATTTCTTTTGTCATCGATCATGTCATAATTATTTTTACTTTTTCTTTTTTTTTATAAAATATTTAGCTACCTAGATGGTACTAGTAGTTTTTGCCTTGAGACAACATTGAACTTTACACTCGAGAAATTTTTTTCACAAAAAGAAATATACACGAGATTTTAGTTTTCGCCAAATTAACATAAAACATTTCGCTCTGTTAAATAGAGAAGTCATCCTTGAATATATATTTATTCTTTACTTTTTTTTCTTTTAATTTAACGTAAAGCTTAACAAGCGAATATAACAAATAAATTTCATTGGTATATTCTAGTGATACTAATCAATAACGCATGAATAGACAACACTCAACAGATAGTAACAATAATATTATTTCTATCATTTAGAATACTTCAGATACAAACATCGACATAAAATTCTGTTTTACGTTCATTTATTGAGTAGATCTATATTTTAATACAAATAAATACACCTATAAGAATTCTATTTTATTCTATATATGTATGTATATATATATATATATGCATTTTTTTAGTAAAAACATAAATCAACACTGTGAAAATAAATAAAAGTAACAAGTTTTGTTTTATTATTATTATTACTATTATTATTATTCTAGCCTTACGTACTATTTTCTAGGGTCAATACATTTTTAATTCATATTGGTTTATTTTTTTCCGATACAATATAAATTAGATATTTGACATAAAGGAAATTTGTTGATTTTTATGTACCAATTTGAAGAATGCGAGAGAGAAAGGCGGAGAGAAAAGTGAAGAGAAAGAGAGAATGCAATGAACTGAAAGATTTTGTGGTTGCCGCCTGTTGCACGATGCGCTCAATAACTACTTGTACATAAATCAACAGACAGTGTTGCTGATTGTTTGTACATGTTTGTCGATCGTACATTATTTCGTTGGTTTTTTTCTTTTCTATAAGATATTACACACAACAGTAATGCTTGTCTTTTGAACGAATACAAGTTCATTTGAAGTCTTATAACAATATTGTCTTGTGAAATGCATGTAAGTCTTTTATGTTAATATTAATCGAGTAATTTAGTTTGAAGAATTAAATTAGCCAATATTTTTAATGAATTAAATATATATATTATTAATAAGTTAAGATTATTGAAGAATATTATGAATCATTTGTCATTTTTGTTAAATGAATAACGTCCGCGGTAGTATAGTGGTTAGTATCCCCGCCTGTCACGCGGGAAACCGGGGTTCGATTCCCCGCCGCGGAGTATTTTTTTTTCTTTTTGCTATTTGCTTTCTTTCCCTTGTACAGGGTGTACCAAAATTATAAGACCCCTTTTATTTTTGAAGTTTTTCCACAAAAACGAACAGCTAGGTAAAATCTAAATAGTGATTTGGAAAGCCCTTGAAAATCTCTATCGAATATAGTATGAGCCAGAATTTCTNGATGGTTCTGCTACTGGGTAAAAGACAGAACCCTCAAAAGGTTCTGTCGAATTTTTTATCCGTTTTTTGAGACTTTGGACACATTTGGATGCTTTTAGAAATCTACAGAACCTTTTTGAGGGGTTCTGCAAACCTCCTTTTTTTTTTCAGAGTAGCCTTACAGAGGATCAGATGCTAAATTTTATTAGATCCATATTACGAGTTGAAACTACCGAAGTAGAACAACCAAAGACAAAGAAAAGAAATTTTCAAACTGGAACATGTTTGAAATTTATTGTACATATTTATATATGGAAGTGACCGATCAGCTACAATATTCCAGTTATTTCTTCTACGCTGAAAAACAGGATTTAGAAAATTGAGAAAAAATCAAAAGATCTTTTAGGTGTCGCACTGATGTGCTAAATCCTTGAAAAGACTGATTATAATCGAGAAAGCGTCTTCAAGAGTTTTAAGTTTATTTCAATTCTCCACACCTTTTCTAGGCTTCAAATCGTGTCAAAACCTTTTTTAGATTCCGTAAAGCAAAAGAAACTTTTTTCAAGTTTCGTATTGCATCACTGTTTAACAGTGTGTGACCTCTATCCCGTGACATAAAAGTATGATTTTAGTAGTACATATAATACAAGCATAATACTTAACGTTTGTTCTATTAAAGCCGTCTCTTGGAAATAAAAGAATTTGTTTGTCGAAATCTTTCTTATTGTTTCAATTATAGATGTATTATCGATTAAAAAATCTTGAAAAAAGGTGCTCGACTAGTCTTTTAATTGGCAAGAGACATGATGGAAATTAAATCAAGCGATCAATATAATATATGCATCATAGCTGATATGAAAATCATACTTTTCTAATATACGATTGAGACTACACGGAAAAAAGTTGAGATATTCTTGTTGATTGGGCACTCATATATACATAGGCATATACTGTAAGCAGATCAATACCATTTTTTCTGAAAACAAAGCAAACATTTGTATTTGTATATGCGAGCAGATCTATAGTTATGCTATGTTGTCTACTTGAAAAGAACTTTTCAATCTTTCAGATCATTTATTTTGACTAATATGAATATCAATAGCAACCCATCGACATCCGATAGTGCCACTAATACGCCTAAACATCGAAAACTGTTTCTCTCATGTCAAGTATGTGGTGGTCGAAACGCACAAAATTGTTTCGGTGCCATTGCTTGTGCTCCATGTAAAATGTTTTTTCGTCGACATCTTGATTTTGATTTGGTATGCTCGAATCGTAATTGTTTTTATTTTATTCGAACATGATTGGCTTTCGTTGATTTAGATTACTCATAAATGTGTTTATAATGAAAATTGTGATATGAATTCAAGTAGTCGCAACGCTTGTCGACCTTGCCGATTCAAGAAATGTTTGTCAGTGGGTATGAGAAAGGAATTGACACGTCCTTCACGGATACCTAAAACGAAACAACCAAGAAAACAGGTTATTATCAGGAAGATCTTTTGCCAAGAAATACTTTACAGAGTATACTTTTGTTATGCTAGAGTGATCTACCTGCTGTTATTCGTCCACTAAATTTGCTCAACAGTGATCGTTCACGATTGTCCTTCGATCAATGGTCTCTTCTATCGAATGTTATTCATGCATACGATGAAATCTCACCCTTACCAACAATTTTGAATATGCTTAATATTCAATCAATCTATCCACTAAAGAAACGTTTGAATCTTAATGTAGTCACCTTGACAGAAATTCTCGGTTCAATCTATCGATCGATTTATTCATTCCTTGAACGAATACCTGATTTTACTGCCATGTCAGTTCACGATCAAACAGCATTAATTGAACATAATGTTCACAATGCTGGGAGTATGAGTGGTCTATTAATTTTACGTGACGGTGATCTCTATGGTAATTATGCATTTCGTCGTGCGAATTTGGACACATACGGATCTACTAGTGTCGACGGTGTAACTAAACTTATCAATCGTTTAGATATTAATGGAACATTAGTGAAGTTGATTCTGATCGTTTTGACTTTTTCAACATGTTTAGATGTTGTTCGTCCACAGATCATGAACAATAATAGTAAGTAGATGAAACTATGATCGATCTTTAGAAGTTCATGAAACCTATGGTTGAGCTCGTGGGTTTATTTACTTATTTTTGAACAAAATCAACTTGACAGTATGAGCGAAGATTATTTATTAGACGTGTCTTCCGAGATTCGTCTCGAATGAGTCTAAGCCGTTTCAGCTTCATATCTGGTCTCTAGCAGTAGCGCTACTTTTAATGTCGACATGGCACTACAGAATCAGCCTAGATCTAGAAATAAGACATCGATTTAATCGAACTATTTGCGTGGTAATATGTATATTGTAACAATTTTTTAAGGTTCACTTTCTGAAACAACAGAGCGTCATCACTTAAGTTCAATGCATTTATTCAGTATTCAAAACAAATATACTGATATGATGTTCATATATATGATCTATCGATACGGCTACACAGAAGCAGCAATGCGTTTTGCTGGTCTTGTTTACAATGTTCTTCAGCTTTGCGTTCATACGACAGAAGCAGCGACTGTTCAAGAACATGATGCAATGTTGAATATGGTCATTGAAGATACGACACGCAAATTAACCACGGAAGATAAAGTGGTCATTTAATTCAGTTTGGTGAAATACTTACTACATACTTACTATGCTCAGTCGTCGTTGTGTCAGGCGTGTATATGGCAATTATTTTCAATTTGAAACAATTCGATGTTGTTTTTTCTTTACAGTTTAATTTCAATTGAATGGCAATTGAAAGTAGGCATAATGATTTTATGCTAAAGCAATGCAGATGGATGTTTAAATAAATTTAATTGAGTCATGTGATATATGTTGATTCGTTTCGATTGTTTTCACGACGTGTCTTTCGATCTTTAATTCAGGTTTTCCATGAATAGTCGAATAATCAATATTATTTATTATCAATGCATTCGGTACAGAGAAGAGAAAAAATAAATGAACAGGTGAGCTCATGAATGACGGACCTCTGCTCTTCTTATGTTTATTTGACCACGCAACAACAATTCATCGATTTTCCTGCAAACTCTTTCGATTGAAAACGTTTTGTTCAAAGAAAAATGTTTCAGTGGATGCAAAACTAAAGGGATTAACAATTACTCAATCATTTAACTAGCAAAATGAAAAGTATTTCACATGAAAAGATACAGAATAATGTATTATACGTTTTCAAAAGATTTTTCAGGCTTTCGACACCATCGTTCAGCAGGAAGGTCTCGAAAATAATTGCATGTTGTTCTTTTCTAATGATTTTCAGTAAATCATGTTTTTCGAAGTTTTGTTTGATCTATGAAACATTGATTCTAGTGCCGTCAAAAGTAGAACCTCATTTTGAACAAATGGATATAACTTTTAAGTTAAACAATGAAAGCGTTGAAATTATGTTAATTTAAACGAATACTCAACGACATTAAATAAAAGAAAAACTGCATATGAATTAGCTTTTGCAGTTCGATACGTGACAGTTGTGATCGTCTCTGTAAACGTTTGAAATGTTATGTTCAGTCTATGCGAATACTGTTTTTCCGATACTTTAGTGTTCATTAATAGCTGCGACTTACATATTAATCATCTTGTGACTTGAAAAGAATCATATGTTTATATACCAACCACAGCAGCGAGCGAAGCTAGGAAAAAGAAACCGTGTTTTCATATGTTCAATGAACCGTGTTAACACCTTCAACATTTTTAGAAAACGATAGTATTGAAATTCGGCATCTGCAGTCTCATGAAACAATCTTAAATCTTTCAGCTATGACATTTCTTAATCATTACCGCCAATGTTTACTGCATCGAGCTGCCTTTTCATTGCATTAATTTGAATCCGTCATCCGTCAAACTTCACTACGTACACTTTACGTCACTTTTGCATACACTTTTGATACAGTGACTCAACAATTCTGCCTAATGATATGCTCGTACATGTTAGCGAGAGAATAAAACCTTAGAATGAACACGGAAAACGAAAGAAATAGAGCACTAATTTTCAACAATCGAGAGCTACGATCAAAGTCAAGAGTGAACTTTTTCTTTCAATTAGACCGAAAGTTTTTGTTATCAATCCACAAGTAGCTTCTTGTCCTAACGCATCATCACATTTTTATTCTTGTACATTTTTCAACATTGTGCCGTTATAGTGACATTCTTGAGTGTTGAATACAGCCTATTTGGAAAAGCGCTACTGTCATTGGCATGCTGCGATCATGTTTTGGTTGGTATATGCTATACATTCTACTTTTCTATGGAAGTTTCTTGCGATTATCAATATTGTACAGGAGCGTTTTCATATGATCCTAGAATGTCACTATTACGTATATAATAGTTACTATTTGCATTCTTAGTGTACTAAACCACGGTATCTTTTTTGGTCTCATGGATCCATTCATTCTCTTATCCATTTCACTTTGTTTTGGGTGTGTTTTTTTTCTTTCTTTCTCAAAAGTCTTGTCAATATTCATTACTTTTCTCTCATAAAAATATAGACAAGGAGGCCATCACAATATATTTCATGTACAAACATGGTTTATTGTATAATTATGGGATAGAAAGCTTCAAGTTCGATAATTCTAGTGAGCAATGCTGACGTGACCCAATTGTTCTCTTCTTCATCATTGATGGGTGTGACTTGAACTTATCTCTGACTTCATCTTCTCATACTCGTGTCGCATATGATTATCGGAAGATTCTCTTGTAGAATATCTCACATAAATAATTAACTGTTCAAACACATTCCATTGATGATGTTTTTACAACCTGATTTTTCATCAAATTTAATCGAAGAGTCAAAATGATTTGTCATGTCATACTCGATACAAAAGTTGATCGAACGCGTGATATTATCTATGGCAATAGAGAACAATGGAGCCCACGTTATTGAACCCATATAATGAACGACAGAGACCGATGGCTCCATCGAATTTTTGAAAGAAGAAGAGGAAATTGTTCGTTGGAAATCATTTTCATACGATGATATGACGTTAAATAACTCCTATGTATAATTTTTAGCAACATATGTTGGTTGAATATCAAATACACCAGTACCCAACAAGTTTCAACTTACCTATGTGCATGCAAGCAGATTGCTTTATTCTCAATAATTTTTCTATTCTTTTTTATCTTTCTAATTACTAATCACTTACTGGAAGTCGTTTGTTTTTCTACTGCATTTCCACATTGGTTGTAAGTATAAATATCTCTTCTCGCAACTACCATAGTGTAGAAGGAATCTTTGAATTCTCCTTCAAGTAAAGAAATATTGAAGTCCTTGAAACACATTGTTCGTTGTGGCGCTTGGCGTGTTGCTTGTGTTATTTTATTTGACTACCAACGCCAAAACGGTTGCCAATTGTATTTTTGATTTAAAAAATCGAAATTATGATCAAAAACAATTTTCTTGAATATATTTGAATAGTACAAGTCTAGCTGTTCAAAATGCCAACAAAATATTAATGCGAAGATACAATATTCGAATATATTGTCTGAGTCTTTTTGATACATGCTTGAACAACATTTTATGACAGACTATTTTAAAAGTTTCATCGATTGCATTTTCTAGGTCTCGTAGTGACTTTGGATTCGTGCCTTTAACCTCCTGTTTAATAATGTTCCAAGTCAGCTCAATGGCGTTAAAATCTGAACTGTAACCTTGCCATTGGCATAATTCAATACTACGTTGTTCACACCATTGCCTAAATTGAACACTTCGATGCCATTTTGTTCCATCAGAAACATAAGAGATTCGTTCAACACTTTTATATTGCCAGGTAAAGCTTCATTCACTATGTCACAATATGTGTCACTTTTTAAACAAGTATCGAATCGACGAAAAACGTAACCATTCCACCAAATGAAACCAATTAAATTAATATGGACCCGTAAAGACAAAATTTCTTTCTTTGGCGTCTATTCCCCTCGTTTACACCATACAATCTGATTTGTGCTCCTTAAACCAACATAATACTCATCTTCAAAAATGTATTTCTTGATATGAGTATGATGTTGTAATGAAGCAAATTGGAATCGACTTTGTTCATTCATTCTGTTGGTTTGAACTTTGACGATAGGCTTGTGTGGACGATAACCAAGAGAAATTTGATAACATTGTATCGCTCAGAGACCGAAAACGAAGCGAACCAAAACGGAACCAGTAAAACTCGGTTCGATTCGGTCTCTGGTATCGTTCCTTCGGTGGTGTTAAATTTTGTACGTGACAGTATTTCAGCAGCAGTAGCGGATCAGTTTTGTTGAATAATTCGATCGAGTTCTTTTTTACTTATGTTGAGCCTAGAGCACGTGGACGATCCGAACTGTGCCCAAAATTCACATTACCATGACGACGATAGTGACTAATAATGCGATATACTGTACTGATGTGACAGTTGAGAAAACCTGCCGTCTGTGAAACATTTGTAAAAACTTTTTTTCCATAAGCTGATGATATGCCAACGCTTCTCTTCACTTAGTGGACACATTTTGAATAAAATCATCGAATAACGAAATATGGATAAAAAAAAAGAAAATCAGCAAAAGTAAATATACAGTGACCTGTCATCAAATATTGTTCCAAGTATATGTCAAAAAGACTCATGCAATATATTCGAACATTGTATCTTCATATTAACCTTTTGTTGATATTTCGAATAGCTAGACTTGTACTATTCAAATATATTCAAGAGAATTGTTTTTGATCGTAATATCAATTTTTTAGATCAAAAATACAATTCGCAACCGTTTTGTCGTGGATAGATAGAAAAATATTGCTGGAGATAGGATGGTGAACAAAGGATAAAATAAGAATTAACTATAAACTATCTAATATGAACAACCAACAATATAAGTCGTTCTTCCTCTTCAAGGTTATTCTTGTTAAAGTATGATGACCCCTACTAATATTATACAATGTTTATCAGAGCTATTTGATATCAATTTGGATTTAAATGGAAGAGAAATCTCGTAAAATGAACGTGTAATAGCACAAAATCTGACAGAAACCGTTCACTCACTTATCAACTGTAATAAATTTGATTATCAAGATCAAGTGACGTTAAATATGGCTAATGACTCAGGTGTTTATAACAATGAAGATGATAATATTCATCATGATGATCATAGCAGTGATGCTGGTTATGAATGGAATGATAAAGAAAATGTAAAAGAACATTATGAGTTAAAAAACTATTCCATTAGTTTTAAGAAGGAATACGTAGATTTTGCCAATTCAAAAGATTCATCTGGCAAACGTCGTCGATCAATGAAAACTATTCACCGTCGTTATCGATCTGGTTCCAAATCAAGGTTATACGTGTCGTTTTCGTAAATATTTAACTCACCAAGGCACGAAGCGCCAAAAAAACGTAATATGTCGATGAAATCATCTATAAAAAAACTTTTAAATGCTCGTCGGGAAAATTTACTGATCCATGAGGTCAATCTTGAAAGATGGTCATTCATAAGCAGCCAAAGCGATGCACTTTTATTATTTCCAAGCTTCTGAATTTTGCGTTCGAAGTTCTAAATACCGTCACGACATATGCTCAGGTAAATGAACTCACATCTTTACCAAATGACAAATAACTAATTTTGATGATATAAAGAAATCAGAACAAGAATTTTTCGAAAAATTTCATCCGTTATCAAAAAATTATTTTTCAAAAGAGATTTTGAACACTGACCAAAAAGGTTTTGAAAATTAGTTACACTCAACGCGTATATTATCATTGCAAAGTGAAAAGAAAACTTATGGAACTGTTTCATCTAAAAATGCTATTACTCATTCATATACAGTTCAGCGTATGATAAATTTGATTTTATAACTAATAGGACCAATGTACTTGTGTCTGCAAGAACCAAAAAGTTGCATGGGTGATATTGTAAAACGGAGTTTATTTACTCCAAAAAATGTCGTAATTACGTGTTGCTCGTCAGGTAAACCGATGAGTTCGTTGGTCAAGTATTAAGAGATAAGGTTTTAGCACCATCAATTAGAAAAAAAGGTCTACTATTATCGGATTTATGATCTGTTCAAAATGATGATAATATATACAATGAATTAAAACTAGTAGGGAAACTGATCAACCCGATTCAAATACAACGGAGAACAACATCCGATATACAACCACCTGACATATATTTTAATCATTATATGACAACTCTAGCCAAATGGTTATATAACTATGCAGCTTTATATGAATTAAATGTGAATTTATTTGAAAGAAATAATATAGTTAAACTAGTTTCACTTGTACATAGTTAACTATCTGGGGTGGTATTTAAAGACGCGATCTTATATTCGTCGTACGCTAATGGCTATTTAAGAAAAGATCTATCATCGTTTAAAAATAGGAACGATGCTTGTTTTCCACAATCAACAACATATCACTCTTATCAAATAGATAAATGCCATGAATCAGGATTAAGAAAACATGTAGTTGATGTACAATAGTGCTATGTTGTCAGCATTTTTTATCGAATATCATTTTCATGTATAGATAAGACAATAACAGACAAGTCAATGGTGATAATAGTCTGCTATAGGCGAAATTTTATTCTTTGTTCATGGATGTAACTGAGAGGGAATATAAAAATCAATATATCTATTGTGAAAGTGTTAATAAACTCCATTCTTGCTTTTTGTAGATATTGTAATTTGCATTTATGAACAGTGGCTAGTGTTACTCTATAATTTACTGTCATTGGCTTGATTTTGGCGTGAAAAATTTGAGCGTTCTTGATCTAACAATGGAGGTGTTTGTACTGTCCATCGAAAAAGTGGCACATATTCGGGTCAAATGAAAGCTCTCACCGTCAGACTAACAAGGTTAAAATATTAGCTGCTAATGGCTTGCCTAGAGGGAGATATTTGACTTTTAAATTTAGGTATAATAATGAATGAGGAAAGGCTTTCTCTGCTATTATAAGGACAGAACATGGTGTTGTTCGTGCCATATGAAAGAGGGTCCCTACCAACCCCCTAATCGCCCCGAACAACACTATGTTTTGTCCTTATAATAGCAGAGAAAGCCTTTCCTCATTCATTATTATACCTAAATTTAAAAGTTAAATATCTCCCTCTAGGCAAGCCATTAGCAGCTAATATTTTAGCCTTGTTAGTTTGGCGGTGAGAGCTTTCATTTGAGCCGAATATGTGCCACTTTTTCGATGGACAGTACAAACATCTCCATTGTAAGACTTTTCTATCCATATAGGCTACAGGGTATTCTTTTTTGTTTTTGTTGAACATTGTTTAGTTTTGTTTTTATTTGCGTTTCATGTTTTTCTTGAAATAAGAATAGGAAAAAAAATCGTATCTCCTCGTGCCCTAATTATCAGTATGTACCTCCTGCTAGGTCAGACATCGACATAGTTTTCATTTTTGCAAGACAAATGTCTTTGTTTATCTTACGGACAAGCTTTTTTCTACAAAAAAAAACAGTTATTTACAGCCGCACTTTTTGTGGGAACTTCTCAGTTTTTGTCTCACTGTACACAACTACTAATACGCAATAGAATCAAAATGTCTGTATTTTCTTCAGAACTCGATGTGAAATAGAAAAAAATATTATTTTACAGGCAATTCAATACACTGAATACTTTGCACAGATCAGAAGACAGATTTGATGAAAAACGTTTTCTAGTTTGAAAAATCGTTTTTTTAGAAAACCGCCCTAAAAAAGCCTACAAGCACTTCTCATGCTCAGATTCGAAATCAACATGATCGATAACTTGTACACCACTAGCTTCCATTAAAAAAGCAATTTATAACTTGAATCGGTTCCCTCGTTAGCACTATTAAGTAAGTTGATTTTCTGAGCAAATAAACATAGCCATTCCATGTCGTCTATTTTTTGGCAAAACTGCCGGTAGCCGGTGGCTTCCACTAAAACCGTCGGTTAAATGAGAGTAACCGACAGTTTTATACAATTGGCATTAGTTATTAAAAAATATTATATATATAACCGTAAGTATTTATAATTTTTTTTCTTTTATTTAGGTTGACCTCGATGTTGAAATGAACCGCAAGTGTCATTCTACATAAATTGTTTTCTTTCCTCTCGTTTAGATCAATCTCGACGTTCAAATGTATAATAAGTATTACTTTATACAAGCTATTCTTTTCCTTCTTTATTTAGATTGATCTCAATATCCAAAGGAAAAGTAAGTATTTATTTATAAAAATTATATTTTTCTCTTTTATTTAGATGGGTCTCAATGTCAAAGTGACCAGTAAGTATCTATTGATAAAAAATATTTGTTTCTTTAGCTTCGATTCAATAGTTTATTTAAAAGTAAATATAAATTTATAAATTTTTTCTTACTATGTAGATTTGGTCCAATAGCTAATTCATAAGTAAGTATAAATCTTTAACAAATAAAATTACTTTTTTATTGAGACTTTATCCTTCATCTTATTTAAATGTAAGTAAAAATTTATAAATAATAAAATTATTCTTTTATTATTTGGATTTTGTCCAACCACTGATCCAAACGTAAGTATCAATTTATAAAAAATAAAATTATTTTTTTTACATTTCCTCTAACAGCTCATCTAAAGGTAAGTGGAAATTCATCAAAAACTAATTGTTTTTTATTATTTAGATTTGATCCAATAGCTAATCCATAGGTAAGTATAAATCTTTAACAAACAAAATTATTATTTTTTATTTAGATTTCATCCAATAGTTCATTTAAAGGTAAGTCAAAATTTATAAATAAATACATTATTTTTATTTATTCTTTAAAATTAGTCCAACAACTGAGCCAAATGTAAGTATAAATTGATAAGATAAATCAGATCTGTCATACTGTTGGAGTGAGAGAAGGAATAAGGGGTACTGATAAAGAATCTTCGTTTGACCGTAGTTACCGCCGGTTAATCGAAATTAACGCTCGATCAGCCGAAAAATTGTCGGTTAACCGCAGTTGACCGAACGGTTAAGCGCGATTAATCGGCGGTTTTTGACTGGTTCGAATGACATGGAAAAGAATATCTGATTCAGATTACCTTGGTTAATTTCAAGTATCATTTTCATTTGACTTTTCATCGAACATTAACAAATGTAACAGACTTGAATATGGTTTTCATCAAAAGACGATGACTTTTACTTAAGAAATTCTCATCAGAATGGGCAAAGTCTTCTGGTATTTGTTCTACTCGAGAGCAACTATTCTACGATTTTTATTTTGGTTAGTATCGAGTGGTAGAGCAGCATCGATACCTTACTTGATGTATTGAAAGACTCTGGAATGATCAGAAAGCTCTTACGAGCATTCGTAACTTTGTCATGGCTGGTTTTGCGGTGAAACAGAAGGCGAAAGTTCATATAAACTCTCTGAAAGATCGTTAACTAGGTAATTAATGAAGAGACGACAATGAACATCGAGGAAAAATAGAACCTTTCCGTACTGTAAGGACTTATCACTTTCAGCTTGACAGACTGAATCAACTGCAGCTGTTTATGTAATTAATGAATGTGATGGTGACGTCGAAGTGTTCACGTGGCCTTGAATGCCTTTGCTTCTTTTCTCATTTTCTCTATAAAAATACTTTTGCAGTGGTTGTTGTTCTTATTATCAACACTAGTTATAACGTAGTTATAACTTGTAACCCACAGCTGATAGTCATTTACCAGATATGGGATAGGTATATTTTCAAACCGGATCAAACTGAAATCAATTTGGTTTGAACTTTTATAAAAACCAGATCGATTTAGATCAGCTTCAAAAAGATACGAACCGATCTCATTTATTTCATTTACTATGATATCTTCAGTAACCTTTCAATGAAAACATGAATGTTCAAAGATGAAGCATTTTATTGAAGATAATGCAGAAGAGAAAGAGTGGATTGCTGGAATTTTAGGAAATCCTACAAAATTCTAGTCAATTTTCTGGAATCTGAGGGATTTTTTTCAGATTTTAAGGACTTTGTAGGAATTCTTGGAAAGTCAATAGAATTCTAAGGTATTGTTTGGAATTCTGTAGAATATTGGAGCCTATACTCTTAAAGCTCTTAGATGTACGGCTACTGCAGAAAAATCAGTTAACATACATCAACAATGAATTTCAACATTTTCAATAAGATTTTTCGTAGTCATCTCATCCAGACTCTGTTGTTTTCAAAACTAAAGATTAAATAGATATTGATGATTTTCAGAGCAGGTAGTTATTTGCTAAGAATATACAGAATTATCTAAGATAAACTTTGAATTGTTTAAAGATCTTTATTTATAATCGTAAGTTGACCTTTTGCGCACAGTAATTAACCTTGTTAAGATGTAATCATATCTGAGTAATATGAAATTTATTTGCTTTTGAATACATTTCCTAAATCTAAATACTTAATTCAATATTAATTGTCTATTTCTTTCTTGCAACGCTAAATTATATTGACAAGTTCCAAGAACCTTGTGGTTCTAGACATATACGTGCTCTAAAAAATTTCTACTTTTCATTTTGTCTTAATGAAACACTAGACCGCACATGGAAAATGGCCTTTTGACAATCTCAATTGTTATATAAATGAGAGTTTTATTGCTGCCCATGATGAGCTAAATCTTGTTACAAAAAATATAATTTATCGTCAACAAACGTCGAATCAACGTGCTATTACAACATCAGCGATCTTTGCACAGTCATTCTTTCGTAACACATGCATCTGTTCCAGCCATGAAAGGTCAATGAAGATCAATCGAATTGACATGTGCTCAAATAGACGACTTTAATTAGTTGATCAAAACTCTACGATTGATTGCAAGCGGTCATGTTGATAAACTCTACTTAACATATCAAGCTGAGAGAGTAAGTGAATCCAGTTGTAAATTGAAAACAATATATCATGATAAAATATTGGTCGAGCAAAATCAAAAATCAATTGAAAAAATTACTATACAGTGGAAGATATATACAGTGCACATGGATATGTCTTATTTTTTGTGAAAATTGTATTTTTTCTGTAATAACGGCAAACTCAGAATCAGTGTGAAATACTTCATCGAATAATGTATAGTTTGTTAATTTTCCAAAATAAAAGTTTTGTTACAGAAATTAAAAGAATCTTCTCTGAGATTTTCCGTAACATGTGCATTTTTTGAGTTTAATTTTTTCATTGATTTTTGTTTCCTATGCAGTGAAAAGTAATCTTTTTTCGTTTTATTAAAAAAATGGTATTTTTACAGAAAAAAAGTCATGTCCATGTACCATATGTAAATTGTCCACTGTCTGTATCATTTTCTATGTTAAAGAAAAATGAGTAAAACATAGGCTTTTATCTACTATATTCCAAATATTACAACCATGGAAATATATATTCTTCAACAGCAATTAACTATATTAGCTAGTTACTGGTTCATCACATTGTAAACAATTCAATCGGTTGGCTAAAATTTTGATAGAATTATTTTTGAGTTTACTGAAAATCTTGATCTTTCGTCATATAAAGAAAAAAAATTTTTCAATATGTTATTGATACAACTAAACATAAATGTCGTCATACTTGTCAAGAAGCTAAATTAAATGAAAATGAGACAAAAAAATTAATTATTATAGATGCTGATACTATGTGCTCATTAGATAATGTTGTCCATGGAAAACCATGCGATAAAAAAGATGCTTTTCGTAAACTAACAACATTCTTTAATGATATATATCAAGTGTGTATTGGTGTTTGTATTCTACAAGAAGATATGACCATAAAAACATTTTACGCAACGCCTATATTGAAACAGGTGAATCAATAAACAAAACAGGAGGCTATGACATACCACCTTTGAGTGCAACAGGGTGAAGAAAATAGATGATGACTATTTTAATATAGTTAATTTTCCAATTTATCTTTTTTGTATAGAATCGAAAGCGTCACTTAATAATGAAATTAAATAAAAAGAAAGATCACTTACTAAAAAAAATTACAGAAAAAAAATAAACAATCTGATCATAATAACATATTATTAGGTGCATCGGCATTGACAGAGTTTTCATACAGTTCTTCATTATTCTATAGTTTATTAGTCAGTTTTCTTAATTTTGAGATTTTTGGAACGAATAGAAAAAAGATGGAACATATAATTGTGAAGACCGTAGGAAGGACGATTGATTCAAAAAAATAGTCAATATAACCGAAAACACCATCTTTTAGCTTTTCTGAAAAAGAAATATTTTAATAGTTTGTATATAAATGCGATTAATAAGATGCGAAATTATATATTTTCATTGCAAGTACCTCATTAAATCGCCAAACTTTACAATTGAAGCAAAAGTTAAAATATAGGCCAATATGAGATTAACAAACTTGTTAATTCTAGTGTTGTCAGAAATGCATTGCTTGTTCTCATTAAATATTGTTCAAGTTAAAACGAAATCAATAATATATGTTTTATAGATACAAAGCAAAAGTTAAAAATACTTGAATCATTTAGTTCGAGAAAAGTGTTCTAATTGGGCGCATGAAAAATTTGCATTAATGATTTCATTATACTTTTAATATTATACATCATCAGTATTGTTTTCTTCACTACTCAATTAGGCATGTGAATAAGTAGAATCAATAGAGAAATATTTAATAAGAGGACAATGAATATGATTATCTATTTTATTCAAATGTTTTATTTATCTTGGAAACATACGAAGTTTTGGTGTACGAAGTGTAAATACTTTATGATAACGACGTCGTTCACCTGTATGTTTATAAGGTGGACGTTCAATATTCATAAGTTTATCCGGTACAATAGCACCAACAGGATCAACAACTTCTTTATAAGCTTCATTATAATTTGTTGCTTCACGAAGAGCATTGAGTAAATTTGGTTGTAATGAATACTCATTAGGATAAGAAATTGATGGTGTTGCTTTTTTTTCTAATGGTTGAATCTTTGTTTGTTTTGATGAAGATGGTGTTTTAATATGTTGAGCTATTTGAACAGTTGTATTATAATCTGTCATAGTTGATTCTATTTTTTTTGCATACAATTTTTTTGCATGAGTTAATTCAGCATCAAGTTGATGAATGTGATGAACAACGGATGCATTGAAATCGTATTTTTTTCGTTGCGATGTTGATAAATGGGATGGTTCACCATCTAATAAAGAAAACAAGACAAAGAAACATATCAAAAGTTTGGAAATATAAGGCGATAATCATAGAACTTAGAAATTATTCTTAGATTCCCAAAGATAGAGACTTTTGAAAACAAAAATCTTAATTTTTTCAGCACCTAGAACGCATAAATATAATTTTGTTTAGACGAAATAATATGATAAAGCAAGTATTTCTCTGCAAACTGAGATGTTTTCGAGCTTTCGGCTGCATTTTTAAATTGACATACATTAGTCTGATTGAAGGTTAAAAAATGGTTTCTCTATAGGATATAGTAAAAAAGTGACTTTATTGGCTTGCATAAGATTACAATATTTTAGCCTAAAAAAGTCTCACAAACCTTGAAGACGCCTCATTTTATCGACATTTACTCTTTTGTTCGATGTAATCTAAACAAAAATATATTTACACGTTCCAGATGCTTAAAAACTAAGGATTTGATTTTCTGAACTCTGTATCTTTGGGAATCTAATGATGACTTTTATTTCCTTATTATTCTTTTTTTTTTTTTGTTGGAAATCATTTTCTCT